GGTTGCTTGCAGCCATGCTAAAAGTGAAGATATCGGAAAGAAAAAAATAGATTAAAAATTTCAAAAATTATTAAAAATCAATTAAAAATAAAAATTTCAAAACTAAGTGTTAAAATCGTTTTTAGAAAAACACTAATTTTAAAGGGATCCCAAACTCCCAACACATGTTGTGTTCATGTTAAAGATAATGTTAAAAAAAAAGGTTAAAACCAAGTTTTTTTGATTAAAAATAAATAATGCATTCCAAAAAAAACTAATATTGTTGTTTTAGCCGAAGCTCGCCTTCACCATTTTATTCAAAAACTCGGATTCTTTAAATTATATGTCGCAATCTACATACTTTGGCGATTCCTTTTTTTATTTTTATTCATAAATTTTTTCATTATTTGTTTAGTTATTTATTTTCCAATTTTAACATTTAAAAAGATATTATAAACCTCAAATATTTTATGCTCGTTTCTTGCTATAAATTTTTATTGCGCAATATTTAATGTTAATAATTAATGAAGTATTATCTCATTTAAGATTCTTATAAAAAAATTGTTCTATAATAATTACCCGTATAAAATTAGTTACAACATTTTTATTTGGTTAGATGATATTTCGTCTGAATTTGCTTTGCATGAAGTTTGGGAAGTCAAATTAAAAAAATTAGTTTGAATAATCACATCGAAATATATTTTTAAAAAAACTATTTTAATGACGGATGTTATAAAGTTTTTTATAACAAATGTAGGTAAAAAATAAATAACTAAATAAAAAGTTTAACATTGATCATCTTTCTTTATTATATTGCAACTGCAAATATTGAAATATTAACTTGAACTAAATTTACTTATTATTTAGATCAACTAAGCATTAAAAGTAAAAAGCCCCTAAAATCATGCAATATTGTGTTGTTTATTTGATTATTGTTGTTGGTAATGTTGTCTATGCTGATTATTTTCATTAATATCTTAGTAGTCCAAGATTAAATTGTTAGTTGCTTTGCTCATTGTTGATTTTTTTCTTATTTAATTTTATCTCTAAGTTTAATTCTATGTTAAGAAAGAAAAGTTTTTATTTCATAACATGCTCTTTTTATTAAAGAGTAGAACAAAAGAGAAAGAAAAATTTCGGGTAATTAAACTTCAAATGAATAAGAGTTGTATAGAAGATATTTTTTTTTTTTTTTTTTGCATCTTTCATTCTTTTTTTCAATGAGAGAAATAAAAGTTTAAAACAATTGTAACTTTTATTTGAATAAATAAGAATTGAAAGAGAAAATTGATTGAAAACTTTATTTGTCAATTTTGTTAGTTTTTTAATTTTCATTGTTAGTAGACAAATCCCAAATATGGCACAAATTAGGAAATACCAAATATAATATGTTTTTTAACTCGCGTTACAACATTTTGACAATTTAAATTACCGTCTATCTTGAATTATTGCCATTAATTAATGTGTTGATTATTGTGTTAATTAATAATAATTTGTCTGTATTTTTGTTAAATATTAGTTGTATAAAATAGGCAAAAATATACGTACTTCATGCTTTTAATTTGATGGTTATAAAATATTGAACAGTAAATTTATAATAAAAATTTATAATGCTGATTTGTGCTGCTTGTAATGCAAAACCAAGATCTCACATATCCTTTCACGAATTTTCATATCTGATACTACTGTCAACTGTATTGCTTAGTATATTTTGGTACTTTTTTTTCATAACCTTAACAGGTTCTAATTCGTATGGAATTGCTGACATTTTTAAAGTTTTGTTATCAAAAATCAAATGCAAAATAAAATGATATTACTGTTTTATCCATATTCAGTTCAGCAAATTTAGCAATTTAAATTAAATCAGCATAATCAAAAAAATTATATAATAAAAAATATTATAATAAAAATATAAATAATATAATAAAAAAATTTAACAGTTCAACAAATATCTCTAATTAATACTGCCAGTTAATGAAAGTAATTTTTAATACTTTTTTTCGATGGGAAAACAAAAAATGCATAAAAATGACCAGAGAAGTTAAAAAATAGTTCGCATTGTTAAAATGAAAATAAGTAAGATTCAGAATATACAGTGCGGTGCAAATTTATAACCTCACCCAAAATTCAAGATCTCACAAATAATTAAATAATTATTTTTAAATTATTCAATTGCTTAATGTCTTACTTGATTAATATTTATTTGTAATAGAGTCTGCTTTCATTTTGTTGAATGATTTGAAAATTTTGAAAAAATGGTGGTGTAAAATTATAACCTCATTTCAATTTTACTCTACAAAATTCCATAATGTTTTGTATTGCAATTTGAATACAATACTTTGTTTTATTTCCGCCATTCTGAATAACTTCAAATATTTGGTTTAGCATACTTTCCAAATGTTTTCTAAGATCTGCAAGAGATATGTTCTTCCAAACATGTAAAATTGCCTTTTTCAATTCACCCACATTCGAATTTGACTTTGCTCTATGAATTGGAGCATTATCTTACTGGAAAATAAAATTGGTGTTACCAAAGTTTTGCGAAATATCATTCAAATGATCATTCAATAAATTTCTATATCCTTTAGCATTTAATTTTGTAGTAATAAAGCCAATCGAAGTTTTTTCAAAATAATTGAACGCACCCCAAATCATTACTCCTCCGCCTCCCATAGCCCTTATTTTTAAAAATATTTTCTCTTTTCTAATGTCATGCCAGTAGTATTTAAAGCCATCTGGACCATAAAGATTGAACTTTTTTTCATCGGACCATGCAATTTTTTGCCATTTTTTTTCCCAAGTTATGTGCTCCTTGACCCATTAAAGACAAATGCGTTTGTGTGCTTCAGTTAGTTCTGGAGATGTGCGTTTTTTTGCAAATCTAAAAACGTCTGAATTGCACAATTCATCGTTCATTATGAGCATTTCAATCCCAAATTACCACCTATTTGTCATGCGGAGATTGTATGGTTACTAGCAGTATGCAGAATTTATCGCTGTTAGTCAGCTGTAAGTATAGATTTTCTATCACTGATGTTTCGTGCTATAATTTATTGGATCCTTTACAAAGTTGTTGATCAAAAGTTGTGAGCGTCTCAGTTTGCCATTTTCTTCATTGGAGAGTGTAATTCCTTTTGGCATTAGAATGTATTTTATAATTTTTAAATGTTATAAATTTAATTTAAAAACAGAATTTACTGCTATTTTTGATGGCTTTTGATTCAATTTAGATAACGAGGTATAATTGTGCACCACGTTTTTTAACGGTTTTATAATTTGAGTCAATTAAAGTATAAATAGATTCATGTAAATTATTTGTTAATTTTATTTGTAATTATTTTGTTAATTTTAAAAAATGATCAACAAATAGAATTTGATCAACAAACATTGAAAGTTTTAAGGTTACAGGTGGTGTTATAATTCTGCACCCCAATGTATAATTCTGCGCTCTCTTGCACAAAAACAAAAGACTGTATTTATAACGTTCTATATAATGTAAATACTTGTATGAAAATCATAAAATTGGTAAGTAAAGCTTTAATATTTGTTTTAATTTAAAAACAAAAGAAATATAAGTAAGATATATAAATCGAAAAATTATTAAGATATCTGTAAAAAATAAGTTGCTTCTATAAAATAAAAATAATTTATCATTTTTACTTTTTACAAAAAAATTTTTGCGATGTTTGGAAAAATAATACTAATAAATTTGTTTTGCTGTATGTTAAAAAAGTACTACATCGTACTTTTTGAATTAAAGTAGAACTTTTTGAAGTAAAGCAGCTTTGTTTAATTACACTTTTCATTTGGTAAAATTCTACCATAAAATGCTTCCGTGAAATCCTAAAACTTTTATGAATTAAATGTCGAAGTCTGTAGATTGCGACATATAATTTGAAGACTCCGAGTTATTGAATAAAATGGAGAAGCTTGACTAAAACAACAACATTAGTTTTTCTCTGTAGGCATTCATTATTTATTTTTATTCAAAAAAACTTGGTTCAAACCTTTTTTTTTAACATTATCTTTTATATGTACACAACATGTGGTGGGAGTTTAATATGTACAAAACATATGGTGGGAGTTTAATATGTACACAACATGTGGTGGGAGTTTAATATGTACACAACATGTGGTGGGAGTTTAATATGTACACAACATGTGGTGGGAGTTTAATATGTACACAACATGTGGTGGGAGTTTAATATGTACACAACATGTGGTGGGAGTTTAATATGTACACAACATGTGGTGGGAGTTTAATATGTACACAACATGTGGTGGGAGTTAAATATGTACACAACATGTGGTGGGAGTTAAATATGTACACAACATGTGGTGGGAGTTTAATATGTACACAACATGTGGTGGGAGTTTGGAATCCCTTTAAAACAGATTATTGAAGTTCTTTTTTTGAAAGAGTTAAAAAAAATGTTTTTATTATAAAGATATTTAACTCGTCAACTAGAGTTAAAAATTTATAAATATTTTCAAATATTTTTGAAGTATGTAAATTAAATAATTCCCTTAAGTAAAAATGTTAATATTTTCTTGATTAGCAAATTTCTGATTAGAGCAAAGTTTTTCCAACGTTCAGAGCAACTGAAATCTAATGTTCTAATTATTGTCCCATTGTTGAATAGTTGTTCTAATACGGTTGTATTTGTTTTTTTTATCTAAATTCTATTTTTTTTTAATATTATATATATGTATATTTTTTAAATGTAGTAATTAATCAGATGCATAAGAACTATATAGAAACTCTTTCACTTTATTCATTTAGAAGTTCTGTGACCTTCTTCATTTAGAAACTCTTTGATCTTTTTCATTTAAAATTTTTAATGACAAAATAACTTTTTTGATGATACGCACAATATAATTAACAGTTATTTGATATTATTAAATTTCTAATTTATTATTTTAACAACTAATTATTTGATATTACTTAACTTATAAAATATAATTTTAATATAAATATAAATTAAGATTTAAAATATTTTTCATGATTTTTAATTTTTCAGTGTTTTATCAAAACTGCGATCATTAGTAGCATTGAATGAGAAGCTCAAACAACAAGAACGAGAATTTAAAGCACAATGCAAGGTTTATTTAATTTTCCTTGTTAGCTATGTTATTACATAATAATAAGTTAATAGTTAGTTAATAGGTTGTTACATAATGGTAAGTTAATATTTAGTAATTACATAATGGTAAGTTAATAGTTTGTTGATAGGTTGTTACATAATGGTAAGTTAATATTTAGTAATTACATAATGGTAAGTTAATAGCTTGTTGATAGGTTGTTACATAATGATAAGTTAATATTTAATTGATAGGTTGTTGCATAATGGTAAGTTGATAGTTAGTTGATAAGTTGTAAATAATTAATAAGTTCCTACATAATGATAGAATAGTAAAGCTAATCTTTATGAAGTTTTCACTAACTCTTTTTAGCATATTCTAGTGTATTCAATGCAAAAGTTTTTTTAATAGTGATTTAATAATTATCTTGATTATAATGGGATATCCAGATAAAAGTAAGATATCCAGCTTATTGTAAAACATCCTGATAATATTCTGGATTCAAATTTAATTAAAGTTAAAAATTTTTTTTGTTATTTAAATTTTTATTTTTTTTTTACATTAAAATTCTTACAGATAGAACTTGAGGAACTTGAAGGAAAGATAAAAGAATTGCAATCGGAAATCAACGAAGAGAATGTAGATGATGTGAGTTTTTTAGTTATGATGTTTAGTTTGAATTGCATGCCAAATAACATACACATGTCACCCTATGTTATTATTTTTAATAGTTTTCACATATATTAAAGGGCTTATGAATGTTTAAAAACCTTTGGGATTTGAGATAATTAGTTTTCAATTTTGCTTATATATGCTAGTCGGTGTTGACTATGGTTTTTTGACATTAAATGGCAAAAAGATATCACCCTGAATTTTATATATCTTCTCATTGTGGGTTTAAATGAAAATTATTAAATTTTTTAAACAATAACTGCATGAAATTGGAATAATAAAGATATATAATATATAGAGTTTATTGAAATTGAAAATGATGTTACCTTCATTTTTTTGTTTTTTTTTATGGCTTAAATTATAGATTACAAGCATCACTTTTAAATCTAAAATTTTTTTTGCATTTTTTCTCTTTTCTAAATACAGCTTTTAATGTAAAGAGTCTGCAATTTATTAATAACAATATTAGCAATATGTTAAGATGTAAAAATATTTTCATCTTTATGAGATCAATAATAAACTGATTTATGTTAATTTTGCTGTACCTGTGGGCAGAACTTATGAATACTTAAAAAATATTTTAGAAAGCATCCTGTCCACATCAAACACTGTATGTATCCATCTATACACTCTTAGCAGAATGTTGTCAGAGTTTTCCCATAATCTATTTATATAAATTTTGGTATTTAAAAAAAAAAAAAATTTATAATTTTAGCTTTAAAAGTGATGCTCATATTTAAATTTTAAGTTGTAAAAGAGGCAAAAAAATTAGTTGAGGTGACATCATCATTTTGACTAACAAAAATATTATATAAATTAAATTTTATTATTCAATTTACATGCTTTAAAAAAGCATCAGTGCTTTAAAAAAATTTGATATGTTAAAGACCTTTCTATATACCTAACTTAAGGTTAGTTTATCATTCTGTTCATAATCAGCATAAATCAGCAAAATTGAAACCTGAATACCCTTAGAACTGTAATGTGTTGGATACTTAAACTTTCAGGTTATCCATATATTCACAAGCTCTTTATCTCATGTGAACACTATCAAAATAAAGGGCTCAATATAACTGTTGGACATTGGGCATTGTCCGGCTAAAACCTCAGATTGCCCGATCAATTTACAAAGTAATCCGAAATTTTGACTGACGGGCATTAAATTCTAAAAAAATGAAGTATGGACAGGAATTGCATGCAATCGAACGCAATTACTGACCATGCAAATGATTTTTTTTGTTTACAACTTGACCACAACTGTTTAGATGTTTTGATGATATAAATGTTTCAGAAATGCGCTGAAAAAAACGTATAATAAATGTATAACGCTGTATAAAACGTATAAATTTATTAAAAAAATACACACCCACTAAAAAATATTTAAATATAACATGGAATTTACAAATAATGCGTTTATTTTAACGATCATTTTATTTAATGATTAAAAGTTATTTGTAACGTAAAAATTTTTTCAATGTATATAAATTAATAAAACATCAACCCGTTGTCAATTTGTAAAGAAAAAAATACAATGTAAAAAAACATACAATGTTGAATTGAAACTATTTTATTAACAAAAAAAATAATGAAATATTGTGAATAATAAGGAAAGAAAATACAAACTTCGCTAGACTAATATTAAATAAACTGAATAACATGATGAAAAATTGCATAACTTGGTTCCGTAAAACCAAAAATATTATATTTGAAAAATTTGATCAGTCAGTGGCCAACCCAAACAAGTTTCGATTGGACATTTTGTCCGGGACTTTATAAAAAATTAAATTGAGCCCTGGGTTGAAATATATATATATATATATATATATTTTTTTTTTTTTGCTGTTATGAAAAGATTTGACAATGGTATATTGTATGTAAATAAATATATAAAATATAATTCTATAATAGTAATAAAAACTTGACTTTTTTACTACCAATTTATTAGATCTATAGCATTTATATTATCTATATTCATAACTATGTTACAGATCTAATAAAAAAGTTTTTTTTTTTTTTACTTTGACTTTATTTATTTCTCAAAAATATGAGCTTATGTGTAAACCCTACTTTTCAACTTTTTTGTTGTTTTTAATTATGTTGCAATTTAATATTTAAAAATAACAATCAAATGATCTCAACACAGCAAGTTGAATGAACAAAACAAAAATTGTTACGCTTATCAAATTGTTTGGTGCTGAAGTGGTTAATCACCTGTTATTATCAAATTTTGAAAAATGGTTAATCAAAAGTTACAACAGTTTATGGCTTTTGACATTTTTACATTCTAGTTATTCCTCCCACCAACAACTTTACATGGTTTTCATAATATGGTATTCAGCTAATGAAATTATGTTGATAATTTCCACAATTAATTTTATTTAATAACAATTTTATAATATTGCATCTGTATAATAAGGTTTGTTATCAAATCGACGCAAGGTTCTTGTTTCAGAATTTTAGTGTTGAGAGGGTTGTAACCACAATTAAAGTAGCCTCCTCGATTCTAGTGGCCTTAATGGTTTTGGGGAGTTGAATTAACAAAACAAACAAACAAAATTTCTGAATCAAACTGCTAATGATTAGAAAATCCATTGAATTTTTTTTTTATTCATTGACCCATTTACCAAAGCAACAGAAGTATTTTCCATCATGATCCTATATTTTAGAAAAAACTAATTATTGCTTATTTAAAATTCTCTAATTCAAGACAAAGAAGTACTTACATGATCAACTTGTGAACTTACATTTAATCCATGATATTAATGCATTTAAGGTCAGAAGCAATGTAAACTTTAATTAATTTAGTTGAAGGAGTTAAAAGTATTTTCAGATTGTGATAATTATTTTCTCTATTTTCAACTATGTCTGCTATCACTTTATTGATCCTGGTGTACTACTGGTTCCTTGGTTAATAGTATGATGCAGATGGGTCAAACATGTTTATGACAATCTTTAGAGATCCCTGTTCACCATCAATACTAACATGTACTGCAGAATTAAAAAGAGCCTGTTTTCTGTGAAGGAACACTTTTCAGTTACTAGTGTAGATAGGTCAGTACAATAAACAACATTGTTTTCAAAAATGTTTCTACTACTTTTGTAAGAGTAGTAAAAACTTTTAGGAACAGGGTCACACTTGATCATAACACCAGCACAGATGTTTTTCTGTATTCTGATTGTTTAACATCTCTTCTTATCTCCTTCATTATATCTAACTCCGCTCAATTTGGAATACGATTTATCTTCATTTTTATGATTTAGTTCTTATATGCCTTTACTAGTGATTAATCTCTGTACACTTTAACAAGAAGAGCATTTTCTCTTGTTGTAAGTTTTATATTTGTACATAAACATACTGTCATAAACAACAGATTTTTCTTCAGCATACAAGGAACAATTCTGTCACCGACATTTGGATTTTTTGAAGTATAGCATATGGAGATTTTATATAGTTGTTTTTTTGTAGTAAGAGTGACAAATACTAGGACCAACTATTTGACAGCATTCTGAGCAAAATGAATTTCTTCTTAATGAAATCATTTTAGTTTCTTTGTAAATTTAGGTGAATTCAGAAAAAATAAGTTTCTCGTATACAGCAAGTAACTCAATAGCAGTTGTCACCTTCTGCTTTATCTTTTCTAACTTTTTAACTTGATTACCACTAACTTTTAAAATTAATTTTAAAAGCACAGAGCAAACCACCTGTGTGGGGTGAAAGTACATGGCCTTTAGAATACTGGGAAACAAAAATTTAAATCAAATTATTTTGTCAGAGAAAATAGAATTACTTTAAATTTTGTTATATTTTTGCCTAAAAATGAAATGACAGTTTTCAAAAATTATGCATTTTTACAGTAAAAAAAAATAAATAGGAAGGATTTGCTCTAAAAATTTTACATAATGAATTAATGTTTTTAATTCTTTATTTTGAAATATTTTTATTTATTTATTTATTTTCAACATCTTTGCTTCCAACAAGGCTGCAAGCAACCACTATTAGAGTTGGAAGTTACTGGAAGAGAAAAAATGAAGATTGTAGAACAAGATAACAATTGACAGACGATTTAAAAGATTGCAAATTATATGAATAAGGAAAGCAAGATAAAGGAAGCGAATTCTAAAGAACTGATGATCGAGGAAAAAAACTAGAGAAATAAAAGGTTTTGGAGCATTTAGGAACAGTCACAGAATAAAGATAAGACTTAATTGAATGACGAAAATGAATTTTATTAGATGGCACAAGAGACACTAGCTCTTTAGAGCAGTGCTCATTTTAGTATTAGTAGAAAAGAGAAAGAGAAGCAACATTACAACAATGTGATAATGGTTGGAGGTTGGCTGCAAGAGCAGGTCCAACTATGTTTACAATGCGTTTTTGCACTATGTCTAAAAGAAAAAGGGCATCATTAGAAGATCTGCCCCAGATATGGCAACAGTATTCTATTCAAGGCTAGATTTGAGTTTTATATTGATCATATTTATGCTGACTCATTAGCACTTTTTAGTTCAATGAAAAATTTCAACAAGGAGCATGTTTAATTTTAGTTAATCAAGATTTTTGCAGCAGTGACAGTGAAATTAGAATATAAAAGAAAAAGATTTTTATTTTTTATAGTGTAAATGCAAAAATTAGCTCACCTGGCTAGACTCACCTGGCACCTGACTGCTGTTGTGTTGTCTATGAAATTGGTCATTCCAAACTGAATAAAAGAAGTTCAATTACAGCCAAAAGTGATGCAGACTTGTCTTTGTCATCAAGAAGATGTTCAACTTGTCTAAGCCTCATTAGTAAAATCCTCATTATTGCAGTCAATACATTTCCAGAGAAAATATGAAAGAGCTGGCATTCAAAGATGTAAAAAGAGCATAGTAAATTGCTTCTAATGTCATAGCTACCGAAGAAGCTTCACCCCATGGAACTATTTGAATTGCAAAACCAATGGAGAGGTCATCAATCATTCCCTTTGATGAACCAGCACTAACAACTTAGTCTTTTTAATGAACCAGTATTAACAACTTAGAGTCTCATTAACAACATAGAGTCTGTAACACAGGTCTGTCAAATGTTGGTACTAAAAAAACTTGCTTCTACTATCAATCAATTCTCAAGTACAAAATTAGTGAAATCCAATTTTTCAGCCATGCTACAAGCTAATGTAAAGAAAGTTGAGTGATTTCTTCAAACAAATATCTATCATGTCCTCAACAGAAAATGCACAGTTAGAAATAAAACATGTGGTTGAATTACAAGAAATTTCTTGAATAAAACTCAGATTGGCAGAAACGTCTATGAAAATCACTTTTTCAAAGTTGGCATTGATGGAGAAGGTGATTTTTTTAAAGTCTTACTTGGTATAAATTTGCACAAGCCCGTATGAACAAAAGTCTCCTCTTTCCAAGTGACTCCTTTCACAAAACTATTCTAAAGATACAAGTATGAAGTCTCAGATTTTTTTTAGCAGTTTGTAAAAACAGAAAACTATAAAAATATGAAAAAAAGTGTGTTTACTTCTTGCCATCCATGATATCAGATTTTCTCTTGCTTGTGATCTGAGGCTAGCAAATATTCTTCTTGGTTTGCAATCCCATGCAAGCACTCACCCATGTACATGGGGTGATGTAGACTCCAAATTTCTTGAAAGTTGTGGGACTTTGGAAAACTTTGGAAAACTCCAAGCATTATATGAACAAGTCACTCTCAAACTTCATACTGGTTTTACCATGTGAAACAGTTTATTGACTTTGAAAGATGCTCTCTTGGATGATACAGTGAACACTCTGTTAAATTACTTTATCATGAATTCGGAATTCAGTGGCAGAGGTATAAGTGAAGTCCAGACCATCCAGAAAATATGGAAAGGCTTCTTAACTCTCTTATTGAATATAACATCAAGTGCATTTGAAAAAACATTAAATATTTTTGAATTTATTTCTTGTGTCAAGTTTGAACATTTATAAAATTATTTCTTTTTAATATTTCTTTTACTGAGAATTTTATAAAATAATATTGAGCAACTATTATTTTTTACTTGTACTGTAAAAAATGTATACTTTTTGGAAAGTTGTCATTTGATTTTCTGGTAAAAATATAGTTAAATTTCAAAGTCATTTGTTTTTCTTGGACAAAATAGTTCTGTAAAATGGCCATGATTTTTCTAATATTTGATTTTTTTGCATTTACTCTTTCAAAAACAAAATCTTCTTTTATATTTTAATTTGCTGCAAAAATTTTGATTAAGTAAAAGTAAACATGCCCCATTGGTAAAATTTTTTCATTGAACTAAAAAGGAATGCTGATTTTCAAAACAAATCCTACCGTAAAAATGCATAGTTTTTGGAAAGCTGTTGTTTCATTTTTAGGCAAAAATATAGCAGAATTTCTAAGTAATTTGAATTTTTGTAATTAAGTAATTTTTTCAAACGAAATAGTTTGATTTCAATTTTTGTTTCCCAGTAATCTAAAGGCCATGTACTTTCACCCAACATCTGTGCTTTCAAAAGTAGTTTTTGGCTGTTTTGTACAACTGTGTCAGGAAGTCTCCATAACTTTACTGATAGGCTTACCATTCTATTTATAGTAAATTTTTGTCTTATAATTTCTACAAATTTTAGTTGGATGAGAATTTATGTTCACACTGAATCCAAGTTCATCAAAATCTCTGATCACAAAACAAAGAATTATTTCTCTCCAAAGATTGTCATGTTTTGTCTCTACTAATGCAACAGAAATAGATCAATCATGAAGTTTTTTTTCTATGCAGGCTTATTTTGGAACAAAATGTTTTTTTTTAGTGTTTTTTAATTCAATTATTTTGATTTTATAAATCAGTCTAATTAGCTGTTTACTTAATCAGTCTAATCAGCTGTTAACACAAATTATCAGATTATTGAGACTGAACTTTTTATTGAGAACTTTAATGTTTCTTGTGCCAATCACAATCTGCAATGAAAAAACTGTTTTGAAGCTAACATCATAATATTTGCAAGTTGCAACAAAGAAAAAACAAAAAATGTTTAGAATCTATTTATTTATTAATTTATATTTTTGAAAATGGGTCAAAAAAATAAAAAAATATGTACACTTTTAATGGTGTCTATCTGATATTGAGTATAAATGTGTTTTTAGAATATATATATATATATATATATATATATATATATATATATATATATATATATATATATATATATATATATATATATATATATATATATATATATAAACACACACACTCAAAGTTTTAATTGTTTTTTATAGGAAAGGATTCAAATAATAAATGAGCAATTCGATAATGAAACAGAAAAACTGAAAAAATATCGTCTTCATCTGGTTTGTTGTATTTTATTTTATTTTGTGTAATAAGCATAATGAATCAAAAATTTAATAAGACCTGAACACAGAAAAAATGATTTTGAATTGTAGAATATTTAACTTTTTTTGTCAAATAAATTGTTGATTTTGACTCATAACTATTTTTTGGATGGCATTATATATTGCTGTCATGCTTTTGGTGTTGTTTCTTTTATTTTTGTGTTATATTCATTTTATTTTATATCATTGTTTTTTTTTATATAGGCAAAGCGCAATAGAGAAATTGCATCATTACAATGGAAGATAGATGATGTCCCAAGTCGAGCTGAACTCTCTCAGTACCAAAAAAGATTTATTGAACTTTATAACCAAGGTTTGTTGTCAATTATAAATTTTATTGTTTCAGCTGTATATATATATATATATATATATATATATATATATATATATATATATATATATATATATATATATATATATATATATATATATATATATATATATATATATATATATATATATATATTATTATTTTTTTTTCTACAAGTTGTTTCTCCATCAGTAGGTTCATCAGGAAGAATGTCTAAACATCAAAAAAATCAAATTATAAAAAAAGTATTTCATAGGAAGTTAAAAATTGTTATAATTATGTAATAAGTATTTTGCAATCAGTTGCATCAACTACATTAAAACTAAAGAATTAATCATGGAATTCTTTAGAATAAGAGTAATTTTAGTCTGGTCATTTGTTTTTATAATTTTTTAAAAGGTACTTATTTTCATGCCTGCATTTAGAATTTAATTCAGATTTTCTTGATCCAAATGAGTAATAATTTCAAATTTTTCTTGTGAACATAGTACACATTTTTTGGAAATGTTTTTATAGGCAGGCGTAGGTTTCAGAGTACATGAGTTTAATTCAAAATTAATTTTTTTTTCTTTTTGTTGCCAAATATATAATGACAACATAGTCTCATTTGAGTATTTTTATGTTTAAAATTTGTTTTTTTCCATTCGCCATTAGTTAACCCAATATATTGTTCATCAGGGTTGTTTTGTGAGGAAACAATGCATTTGTAAATGATATTTTTTGATAAACATTTGCCATTCATAGGGCAGTTAATTCTTTGCTTGCAATTACAATTTTCAGTATTTTTTTCCGTGAGAAATTCATTTTTACTTATCAATACAAAATTGTGACCTTTTATATTATTTCAATACTATTTGTACAGCTATCTTTCAATATTATTTGTATAGCTATAGCTTACTCTAAAAGTGTTTCTGTTAAAAGATTTTGTGGAATTTATTAGAGGGAGGGAAATGTTTGTCTACTAATTTTAAAAACATTTTTCCAATATTTGTTGAAACATTTTTGCTGTACCGTGGGTTGAACTAAATTATATTTTTAATTCTATTTTGCTTTTTTGCAATTTTTGTTTTGAATTTTAGCTCAAAATTTTTAAATCCGCTTTTTTTAAGAGCATCTTCATACACGCGTTTGGAAGAGTTAAAAACATTTTCATTAGAAGAGTTCTGAGGGGGTTGATTTTAATATGTATTAATATATGATAATTCATCATTAGGTTTTTTATAAGGCCTATAAGAATTTTCGGAGAGGTTAAATGTGTCATCAAGAATTGTGAGTTTGTAAAAACTTAGTTTAATGAAAACTGCAGTGATGTCCGTAATACCAGATTTTCTAAAAAGTGAAAAAATAGAAATAAAAATTCAAAATTTAATAAAAGTATCAAAATCATTTTTCAAAAAAAAATGAAATAAAAATACTAAAGGTAAAGTCAGGAAAAAAAGTAAGAATTTGAAATTAGATTTTTGAATCTTAACAAATAAGATTTTTAACAAAAAAAAAAAAGGGAAAAAAAAAAGTTTATTTGATTGAAAAGTGAATTTTTCAACTCATAATGTCTAATATTAATTGGTTTTTATTCCAAATCATTCATTATAAACACTTAATATTGTTATTTTTTAAATATCGTTTAAATGAAGAATAGTGTCAATGCAATTCAAACAGCTTTTGAGTGATAAAAAAAACTTGGTTAATATAATTATTTATTTTAAATTTGATCAATAAATGGATGCAAATAAGAGTTATAGAAGTAGACTATCCAAAATAAAGAAGTGGGAGAGAAGTGGGAGAGACCTTTTAATTGTAAATTGTAGTATGATTAAAATGATCTAGATGTAATTAAACTGTTTATTTTCGCCAATAAAGTATTAAAGTGCAACAGATATATAACAAATGCAAATGCAATTGAATAACAGTAAAATAAACAAGTTAAAAGTAAAAAAGTAAACCATTTAATTGGACTAAATTATAAAAACTAAGTTAAAAAAGGTATTATAAAGGTAAGTTAATTTTATTTATAGGTTAGAAAGACTATTTAAAAATCAAGTATAAAATTAGAAATTCAAACAAAGTTGTTTTCTATGCCCTATATCTAGGATCAAACCAGGCACAATATCAATAAAGAGATAAATCCATGGCATTACATTTAAGCATTGCACAACATAAACTCAAACTTATAGACAAACAGTATTAAGTTCAGCATCAACCTCGAGCATTTTATTCATAATACTCCAATAGGGAGCGGTTCATGTAAAATGTCTGCAAAAGTTGCTAAATCCTTATGGAAAGAGTTTAATAATACTTGGCAAAGAGAGTGCATCCCCTTCACAGATTATACTCATTTGATTGCATTATAGAAAAAAAATGGGGTCCATAATTTAGAAAATTCCTATGGTACTGACCATGCAGCTGCAAAATTTACAGACTATATCGGCACCATAATTAAGAAAAAAATTGAATGTTTAAAAAGTTGTAGATTTTACTGTATTCTCAGTGATGGAAGCATAGATTCAGAATAATTATCAAAGATTTACAGTGAACAGGAATTAGTTTCTTTATTTAAAAACAGATGCTTAAAAGAAGAATTGTTTTCTCTAGAAACAGCAGAGAATTCTAATGGAGTCGGGTAAAAAATATGTATAACAGATGCTTTTGCAAGAGTTGAAACTACCGATGTTAATAAACATCTATTAGGTGTAAACCTTGATGGTTCATTACTAAAAGAAGGTTCACCTTGGCTGGAGATCGTACACTGCTTTAATCATTGACTTGAACTAGCTTTAAAAGATGCATTTGAAAGTTTAACTTCCTTTAAAACTGTTGATGAACTATAATTACAACTCTATTATTTGTATCAAAAGTCACCAAACCGTTGCCATGAACTACAAGGATTAGCCAAAGCCTGGGGTAATTAATTTTAAAAAGTTAGCAAATGTTTATTTGGGCATTTATGCTGGTTTAGGTGCATTACTAAAAAAAAGTTCAACTCAAATGAAATTTGTGCACTGCTTTAACCATTTTCAACTAGCTTTAAAAGATCCATTTGAAAGTTTAACTTCCTTCGAAAACAATAAATAATAAATACCACAACTACAAGAATTAGCCAAAGCTTCGAGTAACACCGTTCCAAAACCAACAAAAGCTTGTGGAACTCGGTGGATCGATCAAAAGTACAAAGTAAAAAATGTTATGTTTACGATACATATTAAATCATTTGTAACAACAGGCTCTCAAATATCAAAAAGAGCTAAAAGGAGCGGTCCTTATTTGTTTGTCAATATATCCTGATGTTTTATCTCTCTTTAGGCATTTGTTTTTAGTTTTCAAAGCAATATTTACGATCTGATTAAAGCGGTAAGAAGAATTCAAGAACTAGTTATTGTAAATATTTTCATAAGTATGGACTTTATTTCTCTCTCTAAAAATCACCATTGTTTTTGCATTTAGTAGCTTTACTTGTTGTTTTTACCATTAAATGTGAACTATGGTACTTTTGGCAACAAAGCTCTCAGTAAAGTTGTTGATTGTTTTTCAGATTCGTTTATTGGTGTTGGATGTGATTTGTATAATATACTTTCTGAATGGATAGTATTAAAAGCATATATGTTTCCGATCATAAGTTGCAATCAAAAAAAATATTATTTTAATGTTATTCTTTGACCAAATTAGGTCAAGAAATGTCAAAATATTCTTGATAGATTTGAACTATTTCTAATTTGTTTATTTACAAATGCAAAGGGAGAACAAAGTTTTTCTTGTATAAATTGGGTGAAAAATGACTGGATAAGCTATCTAGGGCGAAATTGTTTAGAATCTCTTTTTCAGATAAGTGAAGACGTTACTGAGATTTTGTCATCATTATACAAAAAAAATTTTAAAGGAGGAAGAAAACTTTATTTAAGTTGAAAACATGTATAATAGTTAAATATTTTTGAAACTTTGTAAAAACGTCATAATTTTTTGTTTCTTAAAAATAATCAGAAGAAAAAAAAGAGAACTGAAATTAAAAAAACAGTTATTAAAATTCTGGTTAAAATTTTTTTTTTAAATCTGAAATTTAATTATATTTAAGTATATTATGAAAAAATAATTTGTCATATGAATTCAAATTATTTTATTTTGCTTTATTTTTTAGCAAAACAAGCAAAAAAAAAAGTATGAAAACATACTTATTGAATGAAAAAATTAATTATCAAGAAGCAATAAATAAATAGAAAGCGGAATTCTAATAAATTTACTTGTTTGTTTTTTTGATTTAATTTACTCGTTCAGTCTATAGATTTTGCATGTTTTTGTGTAAATATTAAGTTTTTTGATAATAGTGTTTTCATCATCAATTCTATTTTAAATTGTTTTTTAAAGTTTAAATATTATAATATTTTAAATATTTATAAGTTTAAATATTTTATAAGTTTAAATATTTGTTTAAATATTTACATTTTTACTTTTTCTTTTTTAAGTATCATGTTCGATGATAAAACAAAATTAATTAAAAATAATTACTAAAACTTTTTGTAATATTATTTAAATCTATTATTATTTCATATTAATAAAATTTAATAATAATGTTATTTAATATTAATATTATTTAATATAAATATTGTTTAACAATGTTACTTAAAAAGTAATGTTGTAATTGTAATAAATACATTCCTTGCACATTACACATAACAGCATATAACAGCAACTTAAGCTGTAAATTATAACAGTAGTTTAAGTTATTATAAACTTCCAGAAAAGGAAAGTGTTATGAGATATTATGAACATATGATATTTTATTAAAAAATAATAATTACCAAATAAAATACAAAAAATACAACTTGTACTAGTGCAACTTTGCTTACCGTTCAAAAGCCAGGTGTGTGTGTGTGTGGGGGGGGGGGTGATTTTAAATAGCAATTCAAAAATATTTTTTTTCTGTTTAGATTTGTTTAAGTTAATTCAAGCCTTAATATATATATATATATATATATATATATATATATATATATATATATATATATATATAT